GATTCCCCTGAGCCATGGTGAAGACCATGGTTGAGGCAGGCCACTCCCTTGCAGGCCATTCCCTTGCAGTCCATGGAGGTGCCAGGGGTGTAGATGTCCACCTATGGCCCATGGAGGAACCTGCACTGGAGCAGGTGGATGCCTTGAAGGAGGCTGTGACCCCATTCGAAGCCTACACTGGAGCAGGCTCCTGGCAGGACCTGTAGTCTGTGGGGAGAGGAGCCCACACTACAGCAGGTTTGCTGGAAGGTCTTGTGATTCCATGGGCGACTCACATTGGAGCAGTTTACTGCGGAAGGACTGCACCCCATGGATGAGCCTCACATTGGGGCAGTTTGTCAAGAACTATCTATTGAAAGAAGGATTCACGTTGGTGAAAGTTTGTGAAGGAATGGTCTACCGTGAGAGGGACCCCACAGTGGAGCAGGGGAAGAGTAGAGTGAGGAGTCCTCCCTCTGAGAAAGAAGGAGCGGTAGAAACATCCAATGAACTAACTGCAACCCCCATTCCCCATCCCCCTGCACTGCTTGATGGGAGGAGCTTGATAAATCAGGTGCAAAGTTAAGCCTGGGAAGAAGGGGGGCAGGGGTTATTTTTAAGATTTTGGTGTTGTTTTTTTTTAATTTGTCATTGCTCTTCTCCAATTTGATTGTTAATAAATTTAATTAATTTCCCCAAGTTGAGCATGCTTTGCCCAGGATGGTAATTTTGAGTGTTCTCCCTGTCCTTACACATCATCAGTATGGTAATACTGTCTCACGACAGTCTAATCCCAGCTCACATTCCCTATTAGTGGATGAACCCATGAGCCCTTTGTTTTATTTTTGATTCCCCTGTCTAGCTGAGAAGGGGGAGCGATAGAGCAGCTGTCGACATGTCTTCTATTTTAAGGACAAAGAAAGTCTTCACTGACTTAAGAATTAGCACATAAGTACTGGCAAATCAACTGCTCCTTTGGTGCTGTTTGCATAGCCATGGCAGAAGTCTGGTGGCCCTTGAGGGAAGTGAACATTGAATTGACTTTCTGGCCCAGCCACTATTTTCCCCTAGGAAAGAGAAGGCAGTGAAAGAAAGACAACATACTGAAGAAAGTACCTCAGTAGTGGAAATTGCATGCTTGCCACTGCCTAACACTTCTAAGAAAAAGTTTCCCACTATAGTCTTCTTTGCGGTTCGTGTCAGCAACGGTAAGTACCTGGAAATATTGTGTACCTTATTTGGAAACAGCAAAATCCCTCATGGACCAATTTAAATCCGAGATTTACAGTCTCTTATCTACCAATCAGTGATGTGCTGCTTATAATCAACTTCCTTCATTTCATGTTAGGGTAAATAGGATAAACTGGGGGCTTTTGGAAGGAAGGAGATTTGCTGAAATTCTCAAGTTTGATGGACTTATTACAAATTTGCAGGGAGTGGCCTTGAGTACAGAAAATATTTCACAGAGGAGCCTGCAGGAAATAATTTTTTTTGCTTGTTCCTTTAGCCCAGTATGTGCCTACTCATCAGCTTTTCTTTTCCTGATGAGGGGTGTAATTAGATACCTGAAATGCTCATCTCCTCCCGAAGATGAGCTCTGGGACTTCAGAAAGAAGATCGAGCTAGGTGCATATAAACACTAAACACCAGTCACCTCAGGTCTCAAAAGTCTCAAACACAAAGTGAAGTTTATGCAGTTAAATTCTCACTGATCTCAGTGAATCCTGTTGGTATCTTCAGGGCTAATCAGTGGTGTGACACACAACTCCCAGCCAGAAGGCAGTAATGTCACTTGCTGTCTCTATTCATAGGATCTCATAGCAGTTTTCCAAAGAGTTTCCTCTTAATTCAGTGAATCATGCTTATTTTTGCTCTTTTCTGTCTTCCACACGCAGTGGTTTTCAGCACCCATCACTATGGTACTTGCAGTGCTGCAGTCAGTGTTGACGTTTTTTCAAGATACCATTTCCTTGTGGTCCTGCCATGGTGTCAGAAAGTTTCCTGAAGCGGATGTTATCCTTGATGGAGCATGTGGCATCACTGTGCTCATTTTATGACAGTACGATTGATGTGCACCATTAAAATACCCACCTCCAGTGGTTCCACCATCCCTATCATTCCACCTCTGTCACTCCAGATATCTCCCAGGGAATCAGCACTTCCTGAGCTTCACAACAGCTGCCCCTGGTCTGCCTGCTGCCCATGGTCTGTCCATAGAGCAAAACCACATGCAGGGGAAAGTGTCCTTCTTCCATTCCCTTTCCATTTGCTTCCCCATCTCCATTGCTCCATGCAGGAGCTCAGGGGACACGTTGCTCAGCCTAGATGTACAGTGTCCCCAGCTGCTACCCATGGGGAGTCCCCTCCTCCTCCCATGTGGCACCAGAGTCAGTTTCCTTCTTCACTGAGACTCAAAAATAGCAGAGTGTGACAAGCAAACATGTTGCTGCTGCCAGTGCTCATGGCCACAGCCGCTCAGTTCTGTAAGTCCTTCCTTATTTTCTTACCTTTCTTCACAGGCACCCATGGTTGCGCTAGCAAGCACCTTTCCAAATCCTTGAATTCCAGCTAATGACATAATTTCTCCTATTTTCTTTATTTTTTTTTCCTAGATGGACTTGCACAAGAAATTCCCATGCAGAGCCCTATATCCATCACTAAGTCTAAAGGAAGCGTACATCTGGAATGTCACTTTAAAGATGTCTCTCAAGATTTTGTTGGAACCATCATACACTGGTATCAACAGAAGGCAAATAATAGTCCAAAGAGGATACTCTTTTTTCCAGAGACAAAAGTAGTAGATGATGGCTTCCAAGCACACAGGTACATAGTTGACAAAGTTTCTAGCCAGAAACTGCATATTCTTAAAATAAACAACATCAGTCCAGATGACACTGCTACCTACTATTGTGCATACTGGAGTAATCACCATGGTAGAAAGTCAGAGATCACCTAGACAAAAAATCCCTCAGCATCTCAAACAAAAAGAACCTGAAAGACCCCAAACCACTTCCCTTGGAGTGGATGAGCTGCCTCAGGCGCAGGCGCTGAAGAAGCAGGACATGGTTGGTGCTGACATGGTGCCTTAAAAGCATTAGCTGCCAAAAGCTAGGGATTTTGACTTAAGCAAGTGCAAAGAGAATGGTAAGCCCAATACCTAACCCATTCTCTGCATTCCACCTTCTCCTCTTCTTTGCTCAAGCATGCCTTGGTTGCAAGGATTTATTTGATGGAAAGGGACACATTTCCATATTTTTGCTCCTAGAAATAGGTCAGCATGTTGTACTGGAGTGCTTCAAAACTTTTGGCCTGACAAAGAAAACGAAAATAGAGTTTCAGTTGGAAAGTTTGTAAAATTTTAAGTAAAAAAAAAAAAAAAGGAGTGCTATTTTCACTTAAAAGCTTGTAACTGTTGGAGGAGGAAGATTTTCTAATTACTCCTCCTGAGATCTGGAGGCGCAAATTTTTGTGGGGGTTCTTTGAGCTTCATCATCCCCTTTCAGCTTCCTTCTTGTTTATCAATGTCTGTATTTCATTACTGTTCATAATAGTAGTGATGTATATGAATTACCCAAAAAGTTGAAGACGGAGCTACTAAACCTAATATCAAAAAAAAGAGCTTTCTATATTTAAGACCATCTTTCTGTATTTAAGCAATGCGACCCTCCTAGCTTCTGCCTCAAGGTGCATGCTGACCCTCATGCCTAACAAATTCAGCAACTTTGAAGTGTAACTCATTAAAGAATAGTAGCCTGATGGAATGAAAAAGTGACACAACAATTTCAAATGTGTATTAGGTCTCTGAATGGCTGCAGGTCAGGTTTGTCCTCCTCATACTTGCAAGCCCAGATCATACAGGGGAGTTAGACAAGCTGTCTGCAATATGCAGTATATGCATATTTCAGCTACTCACTGTTCTGACCATAGTCCAACAGCCCCAGAAACTGCAGGTGAGATGGTGGTGGCCTTCTTCACCGTGTGTCTAAGGACATGGCAGGAAAAGCACTGGTTGCCACTGCTTTCTGTCTACACCACTCCTGCCATTGATTCGTGTTTGCAATTATGATGTTCCCGCTCAGGAGCATTCAGCGTAGATGACTGCTTTTGTTACACCTACTTCAACTGAAAGACATTCACCCTCAGTATAGTTCCTCACTCTAGCCCAAAATCATATCTTAGTGTTGTTTTGCAGTCAGTATGCCACAAGAGAGCCCAGAAGTACTCAAACCTCTTCAAACTAAGCGTGCAGGTTGTTTGATCAACAGAAGCAGTGACTCCTCTGATGTTATCTTGGGCTGTTTTATATGAAACATGGGTGCCCACCAGCAAGTACATGAAAAGCTGCTGGTGAGCTATTGTTGCAGAGCCTGGAGTGGTTCCAGGAGATGGGTGGACAACGACCACGTACTGGAGGCAAAAAATGCAATCTGCAGCACATGGACGTCTTCTTGAGGCTTATGATGCTGGCTTTCCCTCCCTCCCCTCTGCTGAACTGTATTAAGACAACTGAAAATGAACTACATGCTAGGAGCTCTTGATGTCACTTAATTCCAGGTGAGAGGAAATGTCCTCCTTTGTGAAAGGGCAGGATCATCAGCCGAAGGTATGTGAGTTTTAACATGCACAACAATATGCACCTATTTGTGTGTCTGAAATTGAAGACAGTTCTTCACATAATTCTTAGGCATTAAGCAAAGTGGCTATCTAACAAACCTGTAACACCTTAGGGAAGAGATTTGCTCCGAAGGTCATTAGATATCAAATACCCAGGTGCAAGCCTGAAATTTCCAACACCCTCCCAGCAGCAAAGGGCAGGGCTTTTACTCAGTCTCCCAGGGCTGGTTGGGAAAAAAAATGGGATTTTCTTCAGTGGCATGACAAGTAAGCACATTAGCTTATTGCAAAGTCAAAACACAGTGTGGAGAACCTGGATCAAATACTTTGGCACGGGAACCAAGCTAATTGTCTCGAGTAAGTACCATTACTATTGATTTGATTTTCAGAGAGTCATTCAGGTTCTCAGATAATTAAAAATGCAAGACTGTAGAAAAATTAATTTCTGCATGATAAGTCATGTTTTTTCTGTGAAACATGTATGGTGCCCCAGTTGAGTGGGCAAAAATACATCGACCTTGTGAACAGAGGGATTGCCTTTAGAACAATTACTGAATACTTACTAAGGAAAGGGGAATGGAAAAATGAGGACACATAAAAATAAATATTGGGATGGATTCACTCCTGTTCTGGGAAAGAAAAGTGAACTCCTTAAAAGTTTACTCTCATAACAGCAAGTAAGAAATGCTTGTAAGAAATGTTGTTATTGGCAGAGGTGGTTCAGTCTTAGCTGATTGAGAAGGAAAATTCCTTGGAATGTAATAACTTTCTAGTTCCTTGACCTATTGAAAGTAACTGGTTTACTTTTGCATTTGTATTATTCTTAATTGTGGCGGAGCTATGCAATCAACAGGAGGAATACTGTTTTCAGTACATAGCATACAGCAATGTATACAGTACGTTGTTCAGAAAATATGTGATATTATCAAGGTTACTATAATTAAGTCAAATTGTAAAAAGCAGAGGAGTTACAGAAAAATTTAAAATGTCATCCATGACTAAAAATATTTTTCGCTGCAATTTGCGAACTGTACCTGCATAGGGACAGCTCCTTTTGAAAAAAAAATACAACAGCATAATCACTTAGCAAAGGCATGAACTTAGTTATGGGGATCAGTAAATTTTGTTTAGAATACACATTTTTCCATGTGAAATGTGGGCTTCAAAATATGAGTCTGATGAAACTTTAGTTAAGGCACATTCACTCGATAAGTAATTTGCAAGATAGGACACATGGGGAAAAATTTTTTTACCTGTATATTTAGATCAACAAATAACTCATAAACTTTATTTCCTTTGGGAATCACAGTGTAGCTGGATTTCTTCTTGTAAAAGAAAAAAGAGGTTACCAGAGGAAGAACTTCTTTACTCTGAGGGTAACAGAACACTGGCACAGGCTGCCCAGGGAGGTTGTGGAGTTTCCTTCTCTGGAGACATTCAAAACCCAACTGGATGCGTTCCTGTGTAACGTGCTCTAGGCAATCCTGCTTTAGCAGGGAGGTTGGACTAAATGATCTCTAGACATACCCTCCAACACCGACGATTCTGTGATTCTGTGAAAACCTAGCATGCCAGAGGCAACAGATATTTGCTGGAGAAATCCAAGAGCTAAAATGATTTGAACATAGTTATAAAATAAGCACAGCATTGCTTTCTTCACAGAAAATGCTAGGTTTAAAAACCTGAATCTTTTTACTCACTACCAAAATCAAGGTATTTCTAAAAATGGCACTTTAATCAATGTTGAAAATTCAGCTGTTGCACTGGACCAGATTTATCACCAGCTTTTTTTAAAAAAAGAGAGTTTTTCTGTAGTCTGTGCAAGAAAAGTGCAGTAGAGAAGATATTGCTAAGCATTATCAGGCTGTGGGATGATGATGTTAAAATATTTGGAAGTGGAACTAAGCTCATTGTTTCAAGTAAGTATAAATTATAAAACTTAACTCCTTCTGAAATGCTTTTTAATACTGTCCAGACGCTGGCTGTGTGAAGTGCTCTGCTGTTTGAGATCCCCCTGTTTTCAACATTACCAAATGCTTTGCAGGATTTTCCTCTTAAGCAGCATTTGCATGTGCAAAACGCATCACTGTTTTGTATTTATGTATGAAATGGGGAAAACGCAACAGCTATTGTAGCATGAATGTATAACTATTATTCTTTTATTTTTAAAGATGAATTTAAATATTGCAAAGATAGCACTTGGAGAACTGAAAGATGGTTTTGCCTTTAAATACGCATGTTCAAACTTTGTAATATTCTTACCCATTCTGAAAGAAAAGTGTCAAACCTTTGGGTTGCTCAAATGCTTTGAAAAGCAAAACATTTTCCTTTAGGACTATGACTATACCAAACGAAAGGAGTTATCAAAGATATGTCCTAAAGATACACAGAGTTGAAAGGCTGCTCTCTCTTTCTAGCTTTTGCAGAAACTATTCGTTATCAGTTATTAGTATTATTAAGGAATAATGCCAAACAAAATGTTTTGACATATTCATCAAAATTATTTTGCTTCAAGTGAACTTCAGGTGTTCGATAGTTGCCTGTGATTCAGCTCAGCTAAGTACCTGAGATGAAAACCGTTTGCCTAATTTTGACTATCTGAAAATGGTCCATCTGGTTAGTGGAGGTTCAATCCCAATCCATGCAGGGCTTTGCTTTCTGTTACTGACAACACAAATATTGGCTGGGGTCTTGTGCTGCTCAGATCTCAACATAGTGTTCATCAATTCCAAGTCTCATTTTACAGGGTTGTATAAGGAGCAAAATACCTAGGCAATAACTGATCAAATAAATCCTCTGCTGGTGCTGCCTCTCTCCAGAAAGCAGAGATGGAGCCAAGATGCCTAATGTGCACTGTTCATTTATGCCTTCAGAAGACTAAAATTAGTTGAGATTAATCCTGTCCACTTAACAACATACATGCCCTCAAAAACCTCACACCTAGTTTAGGTAACTGCTCCTGTTTCACTTTTATAGGGTCTAAAAACTGATTATACAGCAAATACAATTTTCTTTAAAGAATATTATTTACCCATATAAAGGTAAGATGTCTGCACTGTAACTGCAAAGACTTTATTCACTATGATTGATAATTACAACAAGGTGTTTGGCTCCAGTACAAATCTCACTGTGTCAGGTAAGTTAGATGATATCTTCCATCCAGTAAGTTATAGGTGGTCATAGAGATGACTGTTAATGCCTCAGAGGACATTCAGCTCCCTTAGAGCCCCAGCTGGCACCATCCCTATGCAGGATTCTCCTCCCCAGTTTGTCATGTCTCATTGTATTTGCGATGCAGTGGATTAGGATCATAAACATTTCTGAAAAGGAGCTATTCTGAACCATTTTTCATCCTGCTCCTCCTTGCAAATGTGCGGGAAAATGGCCAGTAGTAGTTTCCAGAGCCCTCGTTCTTTACTCCAGCTGTACTGAAGGAATAAGCAGGGAATCAAGCGACTGTCAACTGAGCATTAAAAAAAAGAAAACCTTTTTCCAATGCAGATAGAATGAGCAACATGCAATGGCCACTGCCAAAATCCTTTTTTTAATTAGGCTAGTAAAATTGAAAGATTTTTATGTACACAGCACTTTGGCAGTACAAATTAATTAGTACCTCTGAATGCTCTTCTTACTGCCTAATAACACACATATGAAGAAGTGATCTACTTTTTTGCCTTTTCTGCAGAGACTTTTATTTTAATGAAAAGTGAAGGACAAAAATCTTTTTGCCATCCTGGAGCAAAAAGCTGTACAAACAACAAAGCAGAGGAAGTATTTTTACCAAATGATTTAAGCCTGGTTTTTAATGAGAAGTGAAGGACAAAAATCTTTTTGCCATTCGATGTGTTTTAAAAATCCTGGAGCAAAAAGCTGTACAAACAACAAAGCAGAGGAAGTATTTTTACCAAATGATTTAAGCCTGGTTAAATACATAAACTTATATTAGCATATTAAGCAAAGATTTTTTAATTATTTATCTCAGAAAGACTTAGTAAATCATAACTATAATTCAATAGAAATGTCTGTGTTAGGATAAATGTTTTTAGTGAAAATCCTTACCCTGTTAATCAGGTATTTGCCTCACTTTTACTAACTATAGTTTAAAATATATTAAAATAGATTATTTCCAAGCATCATTTTAGTTCTGTAGGATTTTGTCTTTACATGGCTGAAGCTTCTAACTGATGAATAGAGTGAAAGGGCTGTAGTTATCTCCTGCTCAAGCTCAGGTATTTCATCACAGCTTGTCTTTTCAGAGGTGACTATCCAACATTAGCTCAGTAAGTTATTCTTTAATGGAAAGAAATGGAGAAAAATAGGACTTAGAATAATTGATTTTAATTTAAGTGAATCATCAGGATTTGAGCTTGAGCAGTATCTTTTCCCAGATCCATACTGAAAGAGTCAAATATACAGAGCCAAACTCTCACTAACTTGTAAAGAACTTGACTTTGTTCTCATTGCTTTCTTTTAATTAGTTCTGACTAAAAGAAAGTTGCTTGAGACTTACAGTAATGCAGGTTACAGAAGGGCTGGGATTCAAGAGACTGGTTTGGTACCTGCATTTGGTAGAATAGATGAGGTTTTGGAAGCTTATAGGAATGGGAATATTAGCCCAACGCAAACTGGCAATCCATGATTCTTCTTTAAGTATCTTTCCAGGGAATGTAAGCACTCACAAGGTCACAACAGGGAAGCAGAAGCAGAGCCGGACTGAATCAGCCTCTCCTAATCCATTTTTCCCCTTCAGCACAGCAGCAGAGGCTTGCTCAGCCAGCACGGGGCTGCTTTCCTACTGCCACCTCTTCTGCTACCGCTGCAGCTGGCTCGCCCTGGCAACTCACAAGCTGACTTATTTTGAAGGGATAAAAAGGACAATCTACTAACATTTATAGGAAAAAAAATCATAGCAGAAATTATGGCAGCAATATTTGATTTCTTTAAATGCTATCTCCTGAATATTACTGAAATATCTACCTTGTTTTCATCAAATGCATTGAAGTTCAGAGTTCAAAAAGCTACAATTATTTTTTGCAATTATATATTATAAAATAAATATTGACTAAAAATAGATTATACTTAAATTTATTTATACATTACCTGAAGTTGGATTAAACTGACTTTCTGCCCTTTTAAATAAAAACATGGAAAAACATGAAGCCCTGAATCAAAACCTAGCAGACTTGAAAGTCCAAATGAGTATTAGGGCAGAAAGAGCTGTAAGATACAAATCAGGAAAAAAGTGGCCACTCAGAAGAAATCTGCAGAGTGAAAGCCTCTTACCATGATTAATAGGAATCATAGAATCATAGAATGGCCTAAGCTGGAAGGGACCTTAGAGATCATTTTAATCCAGCCTCCCTGCTGCCAGGGACGCCACCTCTCTACTAGATCAGGTAACACATGGGGACCGAACGGGAACGTTTGTTAATGGCTTTAAAATATCAAGGATTTCATGGGCATGAAGATTAATTCAGTTTTCTTCTTTTTTCAAGGCAATGTTCATAAATAGGTTTCATGTAAACATTTCCCTGTTCATAACTGTCTCAGTTATTCTGAAGCCATGGCCCAAAGAGATCAGCTTAAATTGTTAATAGCCTGCAGCACTAGGTTCTTGTGGTAGGACATATATTCATACACAGATGCACAGGCGTGTATATACCTACATGCCTCATGTCCCATGTTGCCAAGGTGATAACCCTTACTGTTTTTCACGATTCCTAGAGAAACCTCAGGGGATGCTGAAGGAATCTCCGCCTAGAAAATTACAAATCTCAAGTGCACAAGATCTGCCTGAGTATTTCCATGACTTTGAAAGGTCACTGTTAATTTAGGGCTCCACCTTCTATTTTGTCAGTATTACATTTCCTTAGTTTTTGTGTATGGCAAACTTATTTTTTAAACCTGAAAAGACTAGCATAAGGGCAATTTGTTGTATGAACAAACACAGGCTCATCCAAACCCCATTTTGTAAAGAAAGTTTTAACTACAGAAATCAGAGTGTCAAAACACAAGTGTATTTCTAATAAGAAAATGAGGCCAGGATAGAATACAAAATAAGGTTTTAAAAACATTGAGACTAGATGGTTTTCTGCAAAGCACTTGTATACAGTGACTACTACAAAGTCTTTGGAACTGGCACAAAGCTTGTTGTTTCTGGTAAGTTTTTTAATCTAAGAAAATACATCTTAGTCTGAAAACCCAAAATCTAGAGGAGAGGGAATGTGATATGCTATTTTAAAATTATAATACAGAATAAAATGTAGATTTAAAACTATAATACAGAAAAGGTATGTGGATTTTGCAGTAGCAAAATGCATTCTTTTAGTACCCAAAGGTTTGTATAAGAGAGGACAGGGTGAACCCTAGGACTTCATGTAAACCAAATTGCTGAAATATAACTTACCTTGGATGCTTTAGGCAGCATTGGGTCATTCCCTTGTGCAAAGCTTACTGCCCAGAGCAGCAGGGTCAGGGTAAGTCACAAATGTAGCTGCAGACCACCCCTTGGCCTCAGAGCAGAGGGAACAGAGATATTGTAAAGAAAAACTTTGTGAGGGCCAACAGATCCCCTAAACCATGGCCGAAACTCTGCATGTCTCCGTTTGGTCAAGGGGAAGGTCTCTCCCTCATGGATTTGTTCTAACAAAGCTGATTTATTCCATCCTGAGCTCTCTTGGATGCATCACAGCACTAGTTAGCTGGAGACAGGCAGTAAATAATTAGAAAATTAAAATAATGGATATTTTTGAAATGTTGCCATCAGTTTTAGTGTCAGGAGGATTTCATGTGAGGACCATGTAGTTTTCCCTGAGCAGAAGCCCTGTGGAAGGATGTGTATGGGAATGATGGAAGTTGATGTTTCTCTACAACATACATAGATGCATGTGTGGCGTTTCCTTTCGGTACTGACTACCTGCACTAGTACTGTGTAGGCCAGTATGGCAGGATTTGAGGGTCAACAGTCTTGATCCCACATGCATTTAAGCGGATTACAGTAACCTTAAAATGGAGAGGATTTGGCCCAAAACGAGCCTTGATAGGAGTCATGGCTTTTCAGGACTGTCTTTCATTAACTCAGTTAAAGTATTAACTAGCATGCATGTATTATTAAATCGTGTGGTCAAAAAACACCCACCATTCTGGAAAAAGATTAATTTTTCTAGAAAAGAAATCTAGAGGAAATATGGTAGCTCAATCAATGCCCCCGGACAACAATAGTTTTGGGTTTTTCTGATATTTTTTTAAACAAGGTATGGCAAAGACTAGCTTGAAACTCAATTTAAAGTACTATCAATTAAGGACTCCTTGATAAGAGCAGCATTAGCTGAGATTGAATTCAAATTTTCTACATTTACGTGGCAAGAAAATTAGACATTTTATACTTTTTATATGTTGGTTGTTAAATCTGGTCCTTGTCCGGCCAAAATGTCATAAGCAGTTTCTGTAAGGGAATGTACCAGTGGGGGTTCAGAGAAAAGATATTTGGTTCTGGCATAAAACTCATCATCTCCAGTAAGTGTTTTCAAAGATTTGGGTTTTTTAAGTTTTGTAATGGGAAAGCTTTGGAGTGAAGGTTAAGAGCTCTTTAAGATATCTGTGGGGCTCACAGTAGGACAGGACTATATACGTTATCACCAATGATAATACCTGAAGTCGCTGGCAAGAAAGACAAGAATGCTGTTTATGAGCTGAGTGCTCTCAGCTCCGGTGCCTTGAAGGGGAACTGAGGAGCTTTGAGTATCAGACAAAATTACTTCACTTTGTGGGAACATCCAAGCAACAAGAACTAAATTTTCAGCTTAAGAACATTGACCTTATTTATAAATCTGATTTATAGATACTTAAAAAGAAATTGTAGAGGATTTTGATTAAGAAAATTTTTGACAGTTTATCTATAAAAAAATACAAATTTTTGACCAATAGTTGTTAATCACTCATTGATTATGACCCTAACTCCAGAATTTTATGTGCAGAATGTTGTAGGCTCACTGCATTAGTACAAGAGAGAAAAGACAGGTTTTGGTTCAAGAAATATCTACACATGCTTACATATCATTTTAAAAAGTAAGAGCCATGTACTTCTGAAAATCTGCCTTGGAAAACTGTTTAACAAAGTAAACTGCAAAATTTTTGAAAGTTTAACTAAAACAAAACAAAAAAACACAGTGGAGTGGAAATTCATAACTTGAAAATTCTTCAGAAAGGATCAGATTATTTGCCAAAAAAAGTCTTGTTGAGTTTAATGACTTGCCTCAAAACACATCAAAATCCACAGCTAAATCTACAATTTTTCATTCCTTTTTGCATAAACATACCTACAGTTTATATAGATTTTTTTTTCCACACACAGACATATATACACGTATATATGCAAAACTTAATTTGTTCAGTTCTGTACTGTCATCTATTTACCTGTGTGTGTTCATGAGCCTCTCCCACGTGTGCACAGAGTTGCAGCTCCTCAAGCAATAGATTTCCTCAGTATGGTGATAGGATTTAGGTGTTTCATTTAAGCTAAACACCTAGGGTCTTTTCATGCTAAATGGAAGGACATTGGCAATTCCAGAGGTGGAAATTATTCCATTTTAACAGCAGTCTCTAAAATGGGCAGGATGAACTAGCAGCTGGAAGCATCTCTCTGCCTATTTAGATTTAATAATTCAGGAGATTGTCAAACTAGACAAATTAATTTTAGCATACTGCAATTAGTCAGGGTAATATACTAAGCTTTGCAAATCTAAAAGAAACATCGACAACAGTCGTAAAGCTCTGCAGAATGGAAAGTCACTAAGACAGGAGCTACACCATAGTCTTCTGAACATGTACAATTCTGGAAAAAACAAATAATTTTAAAAATTAGTTTAATCTTCCATCTTTAGGAGGACTGAAACATAAAGAAGACAAAATTAACCTCTAAATTAATGTTAAAGAACCATAAAATTGTTAGCAAATTTATTCCTGGTACAACTGAACTCGGTCCACATCTTTATTTCAATGATAAATCTCACTTGAATACTCTGATGCAGCTTCAAGGAAGATTAGTATCTTCAACAATATTTCAGTTTCTTAACACTACTCAAAAGTAACTTTTCGAACATTTTTAAGTAGGTTTCTATGATTTTAAATAACAAGATTTAAGTTTATTTTTCTACCAAAATACTCAAGAAATCTTTTGTGAGATATTTTTAAATCCACTTTAGTACTGAAGACAAGACCTAGTCTACTCCAGTCTTTATCAGATGTGCTGCCTGACAAGAAGCACAGACAAAGCAGACTAGATGTTAGTGTTGCCTAAATGAATTAGGACTTAAAGAAGGTTTCTCCATGTACACTGCACAGTGTGAAAGCTTAGATCAAACATTCTCTGGACTTTGGAAGATTCTATATTGTCTATACAAAAATCAGTTTTGAATATTTGAATTGAGTTGTGTTTTCTGATTTTCAGTTTCATTTTCTGTACCAAACTCATAAAAGCCTCAATTCATTTTAGTTCTCTGTAAAATAACACATTTAAAAATAAGGTTAAAAGTAATATTTTTTATTCCAAATTAAAAAAAAAAAGTTTCAATAATATTTAGAACACTGAAAATTGAAACTTGTCATTTGGGTGCATCAGAATAATATTTAATATAAAGTGTGTCTGAATGCCAAGTTCATCCAGCTTATTTTTACTTCAAGGATGGAAACAACTGCCATAATCCATCCCATTATCTAAAACTTTATTCATAAGTGAGACATTTCTATTACTAGCATAAGTATTTCTTAAAAAATTAAAGAGCTAAAACATTCATCAATAAGACATTTAGATTGTTGCTTTTCAGAACGTGTGGCTGCGTATTTATTTGCTGTACTATCAATCTTCCAGCTCTTTATTTTATTATTTTTTTCCTCTGATGGTCAATCCAGATAAAGGAAGTTCTGCACCGACAAACTCTGAAATACTGCAGAAGAAACATGACAATCAGATAACGTATGTTTGCCTTATCGAGAAATTCTACCCAGAAGTTATTGGGGTGACATGGACTGATGGAAAAAAAGAGGTAACAGACCATGTGGTAAAAGGAGATGTTTGGAAGCCCCCAAAGGGGGATTTATACTCAGTCAGCAGCTGGTTAACTGTACCAGCAGAGAACAAAGACAACAACTATTTTTGCAAGTATGAGCATGAAACCGGACAACAGTCACTGCCGACACAAGGTATATACTACATTCAAAATTTAATTCTACATATTATAGAAATCCATTTTCTTTGCAATAAAATTATAGAAATAATGCTTTCTATTACTGTTCCTGGAAGCATCTGTGCTCCTTTCCAAAACAACAGCTAAAAAGCATATCCAGAGAAACCACCAAAGGTTTCCCAGGAAAAGCTACCCAGCCTGTGCTACACTCCCCAAGTGAACACCCCTTCGCAATAGGAAAAGTGCAGTTCTTGAACCTCATCAGGTATAAACTAGCAAAGCTCCAAAAGGTCTGCACTGAGCCATGCACATTACTTTCCAGTCTACAGAAGTTTCTGAAAACAGTACTACCTCTCTGTTACCCATGGCTTATGGGTGTAAGTCTCTCTGACACCCCTTGAAGTTAGTCACAGCTATAAAATAGCAAGGAGTTAAAACCAAGGCTGCTGTGGACGTAGAGCAACGTTTAAATATATTACTCAGTTATAGTCCAGCAATAGTGAGGTAATAACTATGCATGAAAATAAGGTATGTCATTTAATTGTGGAAAGATCAATTATGCAAAGCAGAATCTGAAAAGCAATGTAATTTTAAAGAGAAAAGTAACCTATAATCATGGTAAATTGTTTAAGTCATGGTAATACTTTTAAGAAAAGCTGCCCAGATTGGTTTAATCTTTTCTCAGTACCTACCTCTGTTCAACTTACTGTAAATGAACACACAATTCCAGTAAGTGAAAGTACGGCCATAAATAACCATCACATATCAACCTTCGAAATATATTGAGATAACTATGCTTTATTTACATGTGTTTAGGGATGCAATACATATGTCTTCAACCCTATGTATCAATGCATACATACACTATCATGAAGAGACATAAATTTGCTCCTTCAAGCATGAAAATGTTTATTTTAGAGAACAATCACCAGCAAAGTAGCAAATTCTCAATCAGGGAACATCATATTCTCCTCAAGATTATTCTACAGCATTGAGCAACGATTAAGTAACAGACTAGTTTTAGTATCTTTTTTAGTATCTTTTTGTTTGGTTTTGTTTAATACTAACATCTCATTTCACTGTTGCTGTAAACTCTTCTCTCTGTTTCTCAATTCACATTTGTTAAAATTAAAGAAAAGCCTAATTGGGACATTTAAAATCTCTTTTCACTAGTTTCTGCACCTGTTTCTCAGGAAAAGGAATGCAGCACATACCCTAGAAAGAGTGGAGTTTTTAACAAAGGTAATTAAAATGCATTAAAATGTGGGAAAGTGATGGATGTCATGCAAGAGTTAGATATTGCTACATATGAAAATTATCATTCTAAATAGCATACATGAAATCTTTTAAGTCTGGGGTTCATAACTTAAAAACGCTTCAGTTCTACTCTAAATTAACTTCTGCTCTGCATTATAAGGGGCTTTTGTATCTTTATCAGGTAGCTTTATTAGGAGCTTTCTTAGGATGCTATATAGGCACTTTAGGCTATTATATTATTAGTCCACATTAAGTGCCACTTTTTAAAATATCTGAAGTGATTTCCTTCATCTTTAATTGACTGATGCTCCACCAGCCTAGCAATTGCCCAGAACTTTGGAGAAAGGAATTTTCTTTTAGCTTGAACAAGGATTTGAGAAGAATCACAGCACTTACCTTCAAAAAATCCCAAACAAAAGGATTCAAGCAAACATGGTGTTACCTGTAAACAGTGCCGGAAGCACTAGAATTATTTTCTTGTCCTTACAAGGAATAATAACCCAGCAGTGTTGAGAGCCAGTCTAGTGCTAAGAAAGCCACTAAGCCTAGAACTTATTAACAGTGCAAAAGCACTCAAAGGACAGTCAGACATTATAAGTGTTTATACACTGTCCACTGGAATCAACGCAATTGCGTCAGTAAACAGGTAGAACTGAGATTGTGTAGTCTATCTTTTAAGAGGTTGTACAATATTGACTTTAAATAAGGCTTTTCTGTCTTATGTTTGTTACAGATCACTTAACACACAGGACAGCATATTTAGTGTATATCATCCTTCTTCTGAAGAGCTCCTTGTACCATCTCATCGTACTCTTCTTCATATACAGAATGTGGGCTCTAACCAAGCATCAGGGAAAGAAAGCATAAATGCTGCGTTAGGCTTTCATTTGCTTTGCTATATACTTATCCATATAGACTCCCCTGTTTTCAGTGTTTGATGTAATAACAAATAAATCCCAGTTTTCTGGCATTAGTGGATAGGGCTTGTTTTGCTTTACTGCTAGTGTATTTATATGAGTCTGGTATTCCTAATTTTTCTGAGTATTGAACAGAGGTGAGCTAGAAGAGTAAGGTTACATAATCTGGATTTTAATCTGAAGCCCTCATAGCAAAATTAGGCATATATTCATGTTAAAAGCAGTTCTACGTGCAGAAGCTTAGAAGTGTAACAGGGCTTTTGACATATAAAGCAGAGATGAGTTTTGTTGTTGCACTTAAGTCCTATTTAGGAGCATTTCTATGATGTAAATTCACAGGTATTTGTTTATGTTAGTTCTCAACAATTTATTGCAACTCTCATGTATCCACCAAATCAGGACTTAAATATTCTGATGTGTGCTTTAAGAGTCAATTAAACACAGTTTTAAAAATCGAACATGTTATTTTTGAATGAAGATATTAGACGAGCATAAAAGCAATTTTAAGATGCACACTTACAGAAATGGAAAAAAATCCATCAGTGACACAGACTGGAAATCTGCACACTGTATTTTTAAGAAAGAAAACAATTGTAACGATCATTAACATCACCTTGTTTAGAGATAGCTTGAAGTTGAGAAAAACCTTAAATAGGCAGCTCTAATAGAAAAAGTGTTTTCACAACAGAGGAAGAATTCTCAGGTGTTGGATTTTGAACTCTTCATCTCCAAGTTCCATAGACCAATTCCTTTCAAATTTCTGTGGAAAAATTGGAGGTAGACTTACAGGAGCAAAGCATTTGCTCAGTGTGGGGCAAACCACTGGCCTAAGTCTGGAGATAAGCACCTGCAGCATTTACACTCCCTGTACCTGTAATGATGCAGAGGACAAGGAAAGCTTTCCTCCAGCTGCGTTTGTGAGGCCCATGTTTGTTCTCTAGCATTTCCACAGCCTGTACAAAGATGGCTAGAAAACCTGGTTCATGGCTCTATATAAATTCCTCAGGAAATCAAAGATGCTTAAAAACATCAGTTTTCTGCTTTTCAGTGTATTAAACAGGAAAGAGTCTAGATAGAACAATAAAAGCTACCTTGTTTCATCCTTTCTGTGAAGAGCTAAGCCAAGCCAGAGGGAAACACGGTACTGTTACAGCAGGACTGCCTTCTAGGGCTCACCCCATCACAAGGGAAGGAGAAAACATAAGTGAGGCTCAGTTCTAAAAACTGCAACTATTTTAGCAATAGCATATCTCACAAGCTATTTTGTACTGCCTTCAATGTCATGTTACTCTTCAATGCAACAAAAGACATAGTGTCTAGCCGTCAAAGTCTTTTTGAGAAACAGCTGATACCCCATGCTATTATTTGTTGAGGCTCGGTTCCAACCAAAGTGAAATAAAATAGCTGCAATGGTATTTTTGGAATGAAGTTACTTTTTATTTCTACAACATCATTGACTGGTGTCCTGGTCTCTCCTGCCTTTAGCCCTGCTACAGAAACCCTTGATGGCATTAATGAACCAGGGTGTCTTTCACTAAAATGATCCCTAAATCCACTTGTCATGTCTCATACATGAAACTGAAAGATGCTGCCCATGCAACACGGGAAAACAGAGAGAAAACACAGCTTTTTAAGCTTTTTGCACAAAAAACCTTTCCTGCATGCAACCCTAAACACACTGAGCATAGCTATGACCTCACAGTTCTGGGGTTTCTCAAGGACATGGTTGCAGGTTTTACATCTGCAACAGCTCACATGTCCCCGAAGTTCATTTATACAGACATATACTCTTCATACCAAGTTTTTAATTTTTATTCATTTAGCCCAAACAAGAGGACAAGTGGATTTTTAAGGCTTCTGGGTGCTGAGACATTTGTTTGCAGGAAGGTTTGGTTATTTAGTGGAAAAACTCTGTAAACTGAACCAGTCATAACTGGTTCAGAGGAGGTGAGCTGAGATGAGAATAGGTGATAAGCTGAGGACAGTTAGACCACAGCCATCCTGTCTTTTACCACAGAGTATACTGCTAAGCCATTTCCTTCTAATGGAAATACAAAGTGATGAAAACCGCACGCCTAAGTAACATGTAAATAACACAGGGAAACTCCTAGTTCATTGCGCATGTTGGTCTAACTACATGCTTGTGATATGTATGTGTAGGGGCAATGGCTATCACAAAAACCACAGGTCCTGCAGAATGTCTGCAGGACTTGCAGTCTTATTTATGAGTGCATGCCAGAGTTAGATGCTACTTATTAAGTGTAAACTTCTGTTGTCAGGATTTTGTCAACACTTGAAAGACATGCCTTCTCAAGTACATATCTTACCACAACTGATTTTCACTGATTTCAAGCTTCTACAACTATGAGCATCACAGCTGTTCTACTCCTGTTACAGAGTTGCAGAATTAATGCAAATACTACAAAAACGGTTACAGGCAATTTGGCGCTTCTAACAAGAAGATGGAACAGGATCAGCTTTTGCCACGAGAGCATGAAGGAGTTACCAACACAAATTAATTTATTTGTGGAAAAGGATTTGCAAGGTATTCTTTATCTAGCCAAAATAATTTTGTGTCCTTTACTGCACAATAACTTGTGTGTTTGAGAATATTGGCTTCTCAACTACTCAAATAACCTATGACAGGCAACATGGAAAACTCCCCAAGGATTCCTCTCACATAGTTGTAAATGAGAAAGATCTGCTCAAGGATTACAGCAGTCTGCCAACAGCTAACTTCTGTTGAAGCTATGTACTAATAAGTTTTAAAAGAGATTCAAATAGTGGACTATTCAGTTTGAGATTTTGAAACTGCTGGGGCACCAGCAAACACTTAGAAAGT